TTAGCTACTGTTTTGCAACATTCAGCTATTAGCTATGGTTTTGTCACGTTTAGCTGTTAGCTATTGTTTTGCGACATTCAGCTATTAGCTATGGTTTTGTCACGTTTAGCTGTTAGCTACTGTTTTTGCGACATTCAGCTATTAGCTATGGTTTTGTCACATTTAGCTGTTAGCTACTGTTTTCAACAGTAAGCTATTAGGTATAGTTCTGCTACATTTAGTCTTCAGCTGCAGTTTAGTTAATTTTAGCAAGTATTTTGCCATGTTTATCTTTTAGCTACTGAACAATTTAAATCTATTTGCATGTTTAAATCAGCTTTTAGCTACAGTTTTGACACATTTGGCTGTTAGCTACTTTTTAGCAACATTTTGCTATTATCTACTGATTTGCAACATTTAGCCATTAGCTACTGTTTTGCCACATTTAACATTTAGTTGCAGTTTTGCTACTGAGCTCTTAGCTGTTGTGCTATTTTTAGCTGTTAGTCACAGTCAGTTAGGTATTATTCTGCTAATTTTGTCTTTTGGTAACAGTTTTGCTGATTTTGGCTGTTTCCAGTTCATTTTTGAACAATGCATTGTTGCAGAGAAGTCATCTGTCCAGAGTTTTAGCTGTTACCTCGCTGTATGTGCCGTCGGGGTTACAAACCGGCACGAAGACCTGCCTCTTGGCCTGCTGCTCTGTGTACTTCTTCTCTGCTACACATCTGGAAGTCTCTGAGGAGCACCACAAATCACCAGAATCACCAAACATCAGAGGAACTCATCACTCAAACCACAGCTCAGCTATTTTCTTTTGCACCACAAATATGAAGCCAGAAAGAGTCTGAGGAAGATGTTCAACCTCGCAGACGATGAAGAAGAGGTGGAGGGAGGGGGGGGGGGGGACGCCAAGAGGGAAAGAAGAGACAGGAGGGGAAATGGATCTGGAAGTTTTGGAGGTTGCAGATGGTTCTGTGGCTCGGAATAGAAGCGGGTCGTGGTAAAATCATTACTGAGAGAGACGGCTCGTTTTCATCCTCAGAATGTTCCAGGAGAGGAAAAACGTCCTGAAGATCCCTCACCGTCCTCCAAAACATCTGCGAAGTTCAGCTCATACGGTCATTTGTTTGTCTGTTAGCAAAATATCTCGTGAAGCACAGATTGGCACTGACCTACATCACTAATGAATGCGTCATTTACACGGTTGACTAACACGGACTCTTCTCACAAGAAGGCGATTTGAATGTACATTTCAAGGCATGAGGCTGCTTTTAGCTACTTTCAGCTACTTTCAGCTGTTCCCTGCTCCTGTCAAGATCTTTCTGCTAACTAAAAAAAAGGTGCTGCTTCTAACTTCTATCTGCCAATTTCAGCTTGTTAAGCTTCTTTCAAATTATTTCTGCAAGTTTCAACAATTTCTGCTATTTTAGCTACTAATTAGCTGTTTTTATGCTAATTTGAGCTTTTCCAACCAATTCCACATTTGTTGTACTCATTTAAACTTTTTTTCAGTCTAATTCAGCAAAAATGCTCTCTCAGCTTCTGGTAATTTAAGCTTCTTTCTGCTTCTTTAGCTACTATTCAGCTGATTTGAGCACATTTATGTGTTTTTCAGATCATTTCCACTGTTTTGTGCTCATTTAGCCTAATTGGTCACAATTGTACTCTCTCCACTTCCTTCTGGTAAATTAAACTTCTTTGTCTTTTCAGCTAGCTTTCAGTTGTTTTTTTTTTTTTTTGCCAATTTCAGATTTTTTCAGCTAGTTTCCACTTTTTGTGCTCATTTTTTGCTGCTTTCAACCTAATTGTGCAAACGTGTTCTTTCTGCTTTTTATGCTAATTTAAGCTTGTTCTACCTTTACAGCTACATTTTTAGCTAATTTTAGCTGTTTTCAGATAAATTCAAATTTTACTTGGTAATTTCTGCTACTTTCAGCCTACATAACATCTTTATGCTAATTTCAGCTTGTTATGCTCCTTTCAGCTTTTTTCTGCTATTTCAGCTATTTAGTCGTTTTTATGTTAGTTTTAACTTTTTCAGCTAATTCCACATTTTTAGCTCATTTCAGTTCCTTCCACTTCCTTTTGCTAGTTTAAGCTTCTTTCTGCATTTTCAGCTATTGTTCAGCTATTTTTTGTTGCTAATTTCAGCTTTTTAGCTAATTTCGTAATTTTTGTGCTCATTTTATTCAAATTTAATTCAGTAAATGTGTTCTTTCTACTTCCTTCTGCTAATTTAGGCTTGTTCTTCAATTTCAGATCCAGTTTCAGCATGTTTTCAGCTGTTTTTCAGCAAGTTCTTCTGCAATACGCATTCACGCTGCATTTTTGCAGGAAATGCATTTTCTCTAGTTTATATTTGAGTCAGCACCTTTAAATCTTTATGCACGTGTTGCAGCCGTGGCCGTCGGGTCGTTCCGCAGGTGCCCCGGCTCTCCAGCTGTGCAAACACTTAAGAATCATTCGGCAGCGGTGAGTTTGAAGGGAACGTGTTGTGACACACAAAGCTGGTGGAGCTCGATGCTCCACGTTGAAACGGTGACTCAGACCGAGTCTGAAAAATAAACATTCATCACTTGGGTGAGACGGCTGGCAGTCAGTGGATGCGAGGGGATAGGTGCTGTTTTCTCTCGGTCTGCAGGGTGTATGTGCGAGAGAGACACTGGTGAGGAGAGGGGGACAAAACAGGAGTGGTTCTAAAGTTAGCCACACTGGAAAAACCCAAAACCATCGCCCGTCTCCTGGGGGCTCCGACCAAAAAACGGAAAAAGTGACAGGACACTTGGATCGTCAGAGCGCAGTGATAGAAAACAAATGTGGTGCTATTTTAGCTGCTCCAACACAATCCCATCCCTGTGCTCTCAGGACAGACGCGTCCTCTGGTTTGTTTCTGCAGCTAATTCGATCGCCGGCACCGTTTTTAATGTGTGGATGTTGCCGGTCTGCATGCGTCCATGTGATGGACTGGAGACCTGTCCAGGGTGTGCTCTCGCACAGATGGACACCAGCTCCCTGTGACCCGTAAAGGAGAAGGGACAGACGAAACGGGAGGAACGGGGTGGATGTTGCAGTGATGTCCAACAGTTATCAATAGTTGGTCCACTGTCGGCTGTGACGTCAGCTAGAGAGCATGGAGTATGAAAAAGAGCCAAAAGACCAGGCTCGGCTAACACTTATCCAAACAAGGGCCCTGTCTCCTTTTTTATTTTTATTTTCAGGCAATAATTAGGAAAATAACTAAACATAAACCTCTACACTTCTGCATGACAGGGTAGGGTTAGTTTTACCCAGTTAACGCTTCATAAATACGAAGATACAAATAAATTTAATTCTCTTTCACAATAAAAAAAAAAAACCCTCTTCCAAGGAGCTCGTTACAATTCAAAGAGGAATGGATGGTGTGATCAAAAAAAGACAAACGTTGGCCTTGACTCTTTTTCTGTCTCTTTCTGGTCAACCTGGGGTCACATTTCAGCTTGCGTCCACATCCTGGGAGGTAGCTCTTTTCACTATACTCTGCGATGCCAGTGCTGCTGTTACGCCGTATTGTTTTACATTCTTAGTGTTTAACGTATATCTTGGATCTTTTAGCGTACCGTTTGTTTTGCTTATATCTTAGATCCTTATTTACACTTTATATTTTTCTACTGTTGGATGTAACTGAAACCCTGCGTGCACAGTTTTGTTGCACCACGTGTGATGAAACGACAATAAATCTACTTGAACTAACTAATGATGACGTTAAGCTTCAATTCTCTTAAAAATGATCAAACTCTCCCTTTAACTCTACAAGTTCAACTGACTCGTGGGGTTTTCAGATCTTTAGCTGGACCTTTTCATCTGGATGTTTGCCATCTTGCACACAGAATCATCAAGCTCGTTTCCATCTTATGAAAAAGGCCTTATCCTCCGAGTGTGGAGCGATAAATTGGCATTAGAGTTGGCGAGCGGGGTGGGGGTCACGGGGGGTTGTGCGGGTTCTTCCTTCCAACAAGAGCGGCAACAATAAGGGAGTCTGTGAGCCGTCTGACCTCTCTGACTCCCTTTCACTCTTCAGTCCTCGCCTCCTGTTTGTCTCTTGTGTGAGGAAGAGCGTTAAAGTCTGCAGAACGCAATCCCTTCAGAGATGTAAGACTTTCTGAAGAAACCAGGAGTTCTCACAGAAACGCAGGCTTCTTATCCTCTTGCATGTTAGACCTCGGCTTCAGGAGTTATTTGGTAGTTCTTTGTTGCGTTTGTTCCTTTTTTGGGGTAATTGCGCTTATTGTCCCTCGTCACAAAACGAAAAGGAGGAGTTGGAAATACCGACCGTCCATCCATGAATGTGAGCTCGATAACTTGAAAACTACGTGAGGTACGGACTTCCTTTTTGGTACGTGGTTGCATCTAGACGTAAGAAAGATTAATTTGGAAAATTGGGTTGCCCTGTCAAAATCCAAGATGGCTGCTGCCTATCATTTGAGGAAACTACACTTTTTATTGTTTGTATTGCATAAAAGAATAGTTTTCTCAAATGACTGAGGTGGATGAAGATTAATTTATGGTGGCCAAGGCCACCACTGGCCACCCCCTGTCTCCTCCACTGCACCTGGTGGTGGATACAGGGGGTGACCAAGGCCACCACTGGCCACCCCCTGTCTCCTCCACTGCAACCGGTGGTGGATACAGGGGGTGACCAAGGCCACCACTGGCCACCCCCTGTCTCCTCCACTGCACCCGGTGGTGGATAAAATTGCCCCTTCCACTCGCCAGGATCCTTCACTCTGCACCTCCCGGACAAGAAAATAAAAATAAAACGACTCCTGTTCTTCTCCACAGCGCAACTCCTGCCCGCTCGAACATCTGCGCTACAAAAATAAAGTTTACTTCATTCTCTGTTCAGTTCAGGTCCAGAAAAACACTCGTCTCCAAAACCACAAACATCTATTTGCATCCTTCAGCGCCGGGGGACACGGGCGTACTGCTCCTCAGCTCCAGCCCCGCCCACTTACACCTGCTCCCTGTTTGGTCAGCCTCACCTGTTTCCCATCTCCTCCGTTTATTCCCTCTGCACTCATTCTCCAGCAGTTGATCCTCGTGCTTCGTGCCGTGTCCGGCTCTCCTTGGTGTCTCCTTGTGACGACTCCTCGGCTCCTGTAAGTTGCCGTTATTTTGTTTCATTTGAGTTTTTTTTTTTTTTTAGCTCCTTATGTTGCTCCTCCTTTCTGGGTCCATATCCTCCACAAACAGTGACACAGACTTCGTGTCACAGTGATGATGATGAGTTGTAGATGTAATGAGCGTTTCATTAAAATCAGTTCAGTGGTGTTTTGCTAACAGACAAACAAACATGATTCTGTAAAAAAAAAATAAAAAAGTAGTTTCCATTGAAAACGGATAAATTATATTTTCACAAATTACCGACGTCACACGGTTGGTGTGAAGCCGTCGACCCTCTCGTCCTCCCAGCACTCAAAGATCCAATCATGCAGAAAAGATGTGAACCCACTAACTTCTAATGCCCCCCCCCCCCACACACACACACATATATTAAGCAGCGCTGAAGCGTGACTCATGACCTGACCTTTGCACGGTCCCCGGTTGACCTCCAGCTGGGGGTCGCGGCACTTGGCCCGGAGGAACTCGCAGCGAGACCTGAAGGTCCTGCCGTCGGAGGCGCACAGGGCCTTCCGAGGAGCTCCGCTGCACTCCATGTTGCACTCCTTGTCCTGATCCACTCGCAGGAACTGCAGGGGCGAGACGCAGGAGGTCAGCGCAGAAAACGTTTCATAAAAACAGTCGCGTCGTTTCAAGTTTCACTTCATTAAGTTACTGAGCAGATCGTTTCTGCCTCGTCTTTAAAAAGGGGCCTCGCGTGACCCCAGAGCCACAGGCTGGCGAACGAGAGGATGCGCTTTCCAACAACGAAACAAATGTTTTTTTTTAAATCAGCTTAAAGTTTGAATGAAAAGCAGAAGTTCGGTGCAGGGTTCAGTTCTGTGGCCTCAGGATTCTGTCGACGCCGTTTTAAAATTCAAACATCACAATCCTTCGTCTCAACGGTGCAGCGGTAAGAAACGGTAGAGGTGCAAAGAAAGGCAAGAGCAAAAGAAATGTTTGTCATGGTCACCATGGAAACCACACGCCTGTTTCTCACTCCCTGACATCAGACAATAATGCGGAGTAGAAAGTAAGCCTCAACAACAGTCACTGGGATAAAACTCAGCTGTTTACATCCATTCATAGCTTTTAATTCGCCTTTTGCTACATTTGGCTTCTAGCTAAACTTTTGTTACTTGTAGCTACTATTTTGCTGCTTTTAGCTAACCTTTTGTTTTTTAGTTAAGTTTACTTTTAGCTGTTGTTTTGCTACTTTAAGCTTTTACCCAGC